GCCGAAGAAGTGCACCCCATCCTGCAGGTTCCCTCCTTACAAAACGTCGCGCCGGCAGTTGTTCCACCCTCTACACAGAATCCACCGCACACCCTGTCACTAACACCCTCTCACTGACTGAAACTAGCACCGGATTTCACACATGGCGGCACACGATCGTTCTCCACTTTAGGACTACTTGATTGTGATGTTTTGCCTTTTAGGAAATTTGACAGACCGGCCGTGATCTTCCTACGAGCGAGTCCACCACAAACACAAACGCACATTCGCTCGATGCTGACGACGCGGTATGCGCACGCGCATTCCTGTCGCGGCTGTCGTTTCACTCCTACACCACGCATGGACAGAGGCGTCGCACGGTGGGGAGGCGAGAAAAACAATAAACATTGAATACTCGAGCCTATGTGTAATTTTGGTTGCATGAGATTTTGATAAAACAATTCGACGGCATACTGTGTCCTGATGTGGGGATCTGAAACTTTTAACATACGTAAGTTAAAGGAACCTATCATTTTGACCCTTAAGAGGTATTTTGCAGATTTTAGATTCAGGAATTATTCTATTCAATGAAGAAATGTATTACGCATTAGTTCCATAAAAATATACATGAAGTAAATATCATCAGCACATTCGAAATGGAAAATCATGAGATGGAGAGGTTTTTTTATATTTGATTATTAAACAGTGAGACTATCCAATAATATGCATGAATTTACTCTCAAAATATCCACTCAAATAAGAGGAGGATGACAAATTGTTACCGTTACAATTTTTTCGGAGTTTGCTCCTTCAGCAACCCCTCGTGAAAATTGAATACCGAAATCGGTAAAATGGTTCCAAGAACTTTTCGAGAAGTCGAAATTTAGGAATTGAAGGCTTTCACGGGTTGGAAGTGGATGCCGAGGATGAGAATTTTTGTGACAACATGAGGGATTTCAAAAAAAAGGACCTCAATTACAAAAATTAACCATTTCACTGCAAAGGAGATCAGGATCTAATGTAAACGGTAAGTAAGGGGTACGATTTTAGGGAATGAAGTGGCTAAGGGTGGTTTTCTGGGGCGTGAGCGAGTAGCCACCGACCAACAAGGCCCAACTTCACTGCCAATATGACATGTCATGCGCTTTAGAGATGTTCATACCAACCCTTTAATGACTCTGTTAACCAAATTTGAGCATTCTAGATGTATGCTACTTAGTACAAGTGTTACTTTAATTTCGTTCACGAGTGCTGTTATATCGATAATTTAATATTTATGATAAATTGCTCCACAGGTAGCGAGTAAGTGGTCTATACAGAAGAATCAGTAACGGAGCAAAAGGAAAAAACATATCTGGTGAACCCTCATGATAAAAAAATTATAGACACACTAGATGAAAAATTTGATTACAGGCACCATGACAGGTGAAAATGAATGCAAGCTTGTAGCAAAAAAATAAAATATCAATGAGAGCGATCTGAAGTAGTTTATTCACAAACACACCGACGTACTTCAAAATCTATCAAATTGAACTTTACAACGATGGGCAGTTATATCGCATACTCGTACATCTGATTGGTATTGCTCCCGATGAAATCGAACCTAAATCAGTTGGACACTTTCCTAGAAAGTGAACATATGAGCAAGGTCTGATTTTAGCTTTGTGAAGCATTGAAAGTAACTGAGGTGTGTACAAATTTTTAATTAAAAATCGTATTTCATGTTTCTGCCTTCATAATTTCAGTAACGTAATTAAACCCACATAAACACTATTATAAATAGTTTCATGTGGGACAATGTTCCGAAAGTTCTCAAAACGGTATGCTGAACATGAAAGGTCCTTCGGTCCTTCAGACTAGATGAAGATGATTAGGCGTTTTCAAACCATTCCTAAGAATGCAACCACATTTTGCATTATGCAGGTGAGGAATGGAAACTCAATTATTTGAAATCCTTGAAAATTCATAAGCATAAATATTGCGGATGTAACCTACTAAATGATCAAATTGTGTACCCATATTGTCACAGATAAATAAAATACAGGTAATAAATTCTTCAAGGACCGAAACTGCAGTAACGTTATTCACAAATACAAATGGTATAAATAATTTTCCAATAATTTTTTACACAAAATGCCTTATTGTGATTTATTTATAGTGTTGCGGAGTTTTTCTTGGATCTACCAATATTTTTGTAGTACATTGTACGTGTAATTAATTAACCATCCTACCAGCGCACGCGAATGAAGCATTTCGGTATTTTTTTCTTCCGACTTTACTTCACAAATATAATTATTTAGGAATAATTAATAAAAGTAGCATTATGCTAAACAGCTTATAGTCTTTCTCACGAAATAATTGCCAAATTTGGCTGGTAGTTCCAGAGATTGGCGCATTCAAACTAATAAAAAAACACTGAAATTTTATTGTATTAGTGAAAATGTTTGTGCTTTCTGATGGATGAGAAGGCATGACGTGTGTATTGAAAAAATATATAACTCGATCTCAATAGATAAAATCAAATAGGACAAATTAATGATAATGAAGTCATTGTTGTAAGTACGCCCCTGTCCACTTACGACACGACTATTATGTATTCCTATTGTGAAAGCGGAAAACTGGATTTATACGGGCACCTTCGCCAAATTCCACACTGATTTTAATAGACGTTGAAAGGATTGTTAGCTAGGTCTAAAAGTGTCATGCATCATTAAAGTATAATCACATGTGTTAAAAATTGAATTTTTATGAGTACTGAATAACGGTCTTAAGTAATAAGTGTTATTCAAACAACATATGGAGCTAACAATAGAATATTTCGTGTCATGTCTTGACAATAAGATTGATTGGAAGATAAACCTATCTTCCGGGTTTTCCTGAAGCTGAAAAAGCAAATGCGCCACTGGAATCAATGAAGTCGCCCCGGAGCGCAAATTAATTTTTGTTGTTTCATAATTTCATGATTTGTATTACATTTTTCTTCATAGTATTCAAAACAATTTTTACAAAACTAATTTTTTGTTGAGTGAATAAAAACAGACATATAAACACATAGTAAACTAAAAACGTGAGTAAGTAGAAAGTTGAAGTCATGAAGTTTATAAAAAACCTAACTATTGATTAGCTACATATTGAGGATTGCAATAACTTTGGAAAAAATACCTTACGAAGAGCCTATGGAAAATGAATAGTCATTACTGGCCTTGGAATTAATATCTTTCAGGATATAGCCCATATCGAAGACTCATATTACATCTAAATTCAGTTTTCATACTTGTTTCCATATTTTCAAAAATGTTTCATTAAGAAAACATTTGATTTTCAAAAATAGTTTCAGTTCTTTTCTGAACCTACATATGTAGCTGTAGTACAAAGTAGGTGTGTTTGGTGATTTAAAAGTGAATTTATATATGTAAATTGTTCAATAAAAGAACATCGGTTTATTTAAAATTTTCACTATCAATGAAGACCCGTTTTTGTAGACAAGTAAACATTTTTCAAAAAGGAACACACAGCATAGTATGAAAAAATACATTGAATATAAACTTTGATAATTTCGTTCTGAGCTATGAAAATATCATTGGATAAAGTTGACTGATCCCAAAAACTAATTTCACATCTTATTCAATTCTAAGCACGTATTTACGATGTTTCAACAACCAGGAATAAGACATGAATTAAAGTTTTCAAAAATGATTTATAATATCCGGTGTTATGATAAACAAGTGTGATGGAATTGAATTGGCCAATACTTGATGAAAATCTACAACTTATTAAAGTAAAACTATATTTAAAGATTTTCATCCAACGGTTTACATCATCCAACGGCTCACAAAAACACAATACGCTTCCTCGATTTTTCATACTGACTGAATTCTACTTGATTTGTGCTTTATATAATGACAAACTGAATCATATGTGACCTTCTACCAAGTTGGAAACTGCGAAAACAAGTCATTTACTAGGTCTAGCGACATAGGACACATTGACATGGCTGGCTACAATGTCGATTGAATCAGCAGTTTATGAGTTGACTTGTGGTTCTTTCCCAAAATTTTGTATTGGCCAAACGGGGAAAACCTTCTCTTGAAGAATAAAAGAACATAGAAGTAGTTTCTTGAATGTGAAGACCAATTCCACATATGCAATCCTTATTTTAGTAGACGGGCATGAGTTAGACCACGACTGTGAAATATTATCTACATTTGGAAGAGTAAGATGTGAAGCTCAATTTCATGGAATACTTAGAAATTAATATATTCAAGAATTCGGAAATTTTACTGAATGACCAAATAGAATTGAATTCTTCTCCTCTTCTAAATCTGTTTTCCAATGTGTAAATTGGTAATTAGTTTATTACATGTTCATTTAATGAGATGGTGACATTTTTTCATGATGGTCAAGTTTTTGATTAGCTTCTACCTGAACATACGTAAAATTATTAGTTATTGAGTAGGTTGAAGGTCATATGATTCAAAATATTATTATATGAAGCACAAATTGTTCATGTCAAGTGGAAATCTCACATTGAAGTGTTTTTGAATGCGTTAAAACACACCTTATATGCAGGATTCCTATAGAAAACCAGTGTTCCTATTAAAAAAAACAGAAATAACAGATTAAACATATTTACAAAATAGCCACACCATCCTATCAAAATACTCCACCTCTCTTTTCATGTTGAGGCTTTTAACTTTTTTTCTCCACAAGCACTTCGAATTCTTCTACGGGGAAGTAAACTATACATATTTGGACATTTTTAAGTACATAAAACAAATAAATAAGTAAAAAGATTTATTACACAATAAATATTTCACAACATACCAAATCAAATATATGATATATTTCGTGGAAGATAAAATAAACAAGAAATAATAAAAAAGGTATCTCTAAGTAACACAAAATTGAATATTATTACACAACGGGAAGAGAGCTGGTCATATAGCAACAATTCAGGAAGCTGAGGCCAATAAAGTAGGGAAAAGGAGAAGAAGATCGACTACAGACACAGACGTTTGACATTGACTGTCGAAAAAAAAATAGTGTGAGTTGTTTTGGGGTCTCTCGTCTCTTTGAATAATCATTTTTGATTTCCTTTAAAATAACTAGAAGAGTCGAAAGTCTATTTCACATTCATCCAAACTAAAAAAAACAAAAGTGAGGTATGACTTCAGCTTTGGCTTCACTGACTGCTACTTACACTGATTCTGAGGGCGAAGACGGTAATGATGACCAAAAAGAAAACGGTGAGTTTGATGTCTCAACGAAATCACCAAGTAACTCCTTATCCGAAAAATCAAACAATTCATCAAGACCCCACAGCCCTGCTACGATAAGAGTCACCACGAGAGTAGCCAAACTTGTTTCCTACCATGATGACACCGTTGCTTCTGATGATGAAGGCGAATCTGAAGGAGTTCCCCACGAAGTCATCGTTATGGTGGAGAATAATAAACTAGAAGAAAACATGGCCAATGATGATGGAGTTACGATTCCGCCAGAACCAACTGGGCATTGTTCTATTGAATTGCAAGATAAGATCACGAAATTTTACGAGAAAATGCAAAATGAACAGCTGGATATGAATTCTGTCATTCAGAAAAGGAAAGACTTCAGGAACCCTAGCATTTATGAGAAGCTGATACAGTTTTGTGACTTGAATGAATTAGGTATGCAGGAAAGTTATTTTATTTAAGAACTACTTCGGCATTCCATTCTTCTGGAATCTATTCTACTTTGTATTCATTTATTCATTACATGACTAGCAATACGAACAGAATGGATCCAAAAAGTACCTTCATTTTATGTTCGTAAAACAATATGTATCAAACACACTACATTAGTGATTAATATAAATGGAATGAATAATATACAATGAACCAATAACTAATTATTGATTCCACATAGTTTTTGAATCTAAGGAAAGAGAACCTACGCTTTTCAATATCATGGTGATATATCCTTGAAAAAAGTACTCACTTTTTTCACGGGGGAAAAAGTAATTTTATAAAAAGTGACATTTGTTACCTGTCATCAGAGATAAAATGTCAAAAATTTTTCCCGTCACAGAAAAAAAACTTATTGCGTGGAATTTGTTGACATTTTGTATTAATATGAAGCTTCTTGCCCCCTATAACATGTCTTTTTCCAGATGTACATCATAAGACATCAACTTGTTTTTATTCTTGAGTAAATGGATATTTTGAAAATAATGTTTCACCGTAAAAATAAAGTATTGATTCCTGGTTTTATTTTCTCAGGAACCAACTATCCTCCCGCAATTTATGATCCAGGAAAGTGGACCAAAGAATCGTATTACGAAGAGTTAGCAAAAGTCCAGAAAACAGAAATGGACAAACGAGTAAAAGATCGCAAAAACAAAGCAGACTTGGCTACCATCGCGAAGAAAAACGAAGATGACAAGAAAAGGAAAAGCAAGTGGGACCAGCCAGGTGGAGGTGGTAGTAGCAGTCAACCTTCAAACATAAAACCAGCAGGTCTTGTTCAGGCCTCGCTCACAACTAGCTCGACAGGAACGAAAGGAACTGTGATATCAGCTTTTGGGTCATTGCCGAAAAAACTGCGACTGTAAGAAAGTTATTTGAGTAACAAAGGATTTAGTTGACTGAAGTATTGGTGTCAAATACGTTCGTCTGTCATATTTGATCATAGAGGTGGAGAGACAAATGATTCTGATTGGATGTGAGATTCATCATCATTTCAGTGTTTCTATGAAAGATTATTCATTCCCAATACAGAGCGGTGAAAATTTCAACATCAAAAAAAGAAAACATATTCCTTGCATCAAGGGGTATCCAAATATACTCTGTGTGTGTGTTATCCCATTTTTAATATTTTCCAAGTTATAAATTTTAAATGTATTTTTGAGAACTTTCAGCCTGAATTACTGGTAGGCTTTTCAGAATTTTGCAAAATATTCCATTCTTAAAATAATCAGCTTCATAACATCATTGCAAGTTGCAGGTAGAATTGGAACTTCTGGTATGAATGTTTATATGTAAAACACATTTCTCACACCAAAACAATGGCTGTCAACGCGTATTTTGCTAACCTAGTTAGTATTATCGGGAAATGACCGAAACTAAATCTTACAACTTACAGTACTAGTTATTGTGTTGGTTTATTTTATCCTTATTCATATGTTCATGACATTCCTCTGGTTTCTGCTTGTAATTATTATGTATGAAAGTAAACAATGAGCTATTCGAAATAGGACATTTATCGCTGTTTATTGATCTATATTTTTTGTTTCTCAACTTCAAAAGGTATCCAAAATCTTGTTGTGTTTCCATTTCAGTAATTTCAAATATTTCTTCAATGTCCGTTCTCTAAGGCATGTTGAGCGACACTGGACTTCTCTGATCTATGGAACCGAAAGTCAAGAACTTACTAAGTCACTCCCTAAATTTTTGTAGTGTCCGACCGAAACTGGTTTTTGTGACCGAAAACGAATCCACGGTCTCAGTTTCGGCAGAAACCGAAACTTCCTTACACGGATTATGTTTCGAGGGAAAAATAAAGAAAACATTATTATAATCAGTCCGTCTTTATTTTTTTATCTTTAAATTACAATGTTATGCACTCTTACATTTTTACTTATTGATAATCATCATAAAAAACCCTTATTCAAGAAAAAATATTAATTGCACCTTAAAAATACTTAAAATAGGTAAGGTGAAAATATAAGTTTATTTATGACATTTTGTAATATATACCCAGGAAATAACAGACAGATTTCTAAATAAACTGATGATAACCTGATTTCTTGAAATTGGATGTTTTATTTTCAATATTTTCAACAAACTTTCCCAACGTATTTCCTGATCTATATGCTATTTCAATATACAACATGTGACCCTTCTGCGCTTCCGTACTTCGCTGGAGAAATTTATAATTTTTTAAACTTCATGTGAGGTGTTTGGTCTCTTTTAAATTTGTCGACAGGTTGTTTAGTAAAGTAACTAATATTTTTTGTTATATGACTTTTTGAGTAAAACGTCTACTTTCTCAATAATTTTCGTGAGCTATGGCCTCCTAATTTGGTATATATGCAGGATAATATGTTTAAAATGGCGACGAATAGAAGTAAAAGAATTGTAATAACTGAGAATTGTGCAAAAATGTGTATTTTCGACATTATCTATATCTTCCCAAAGTTATCCTTTTAAAGCCAGTCATTAATGTGAGCAACCACGAAAATTTTTGCCTCAAGAGGACGCTGAGGAGCGTGAGGTCAGGTCTCGTTGTTCTTTCGCCACTAAGAAGGGCGTTTTTAGCGGTACTGTGACAAGTATTGTAGTCTATATATAGATCAATATAGCTGCTATTCTTATTTGCTAACTTGAGCCTTCTAGTGATGGTTTCATTTAAGCCATAGCTAGTAGAATTGTAAGGAACTTTAAACAACTCCGACACTCTGGTTCTTCTTGAATTTACATTGAATAGTTATTAATTTGTGTTACAAATGGACAGTTCATATCACCATTTATAACTTTATGAAGAAGTCTTAGATCAATTTCAGCTCGGCGGTGCTCCAAAGTGGATAAATTCAGAAGATGCAGAATGTCTGAGTACTCATAGTTGGACCTCAGATATTCAAATTGCAAGCTAACTCTATTTACATCATTTATTATATACCTAAATGATATTTATTATGTTCCTGGGCTACATGAACTTAATCTGTTTGCAGACGATACATTAGTTTATACTTCAAATACAGAACTCAATGATGATGTAGATACTCTCAAAGGTTCTATGAAGAACATCGAAAAATATTTACATATGAATAAATTAAAATTAAATGCAGATAAAACAAAAGCTATATAGTGATAACAACTGAATATGAACTGAACTCTATTGATTATAATGAAATAAAAATTGAAATTGGTTTCACTACCTTGGAATATGTGTCTGAAATAAAGTATCTGGGAGTTATTGTAGATAGCACTGTGAGTTTGAACAGTCATGCTGAATACGTTATAAAAAAATTTCAAAAAAATTATATTTTTTTTCTAGGATAGCAAATAATTTGACTATTTACTCCAGAATATTAACATATAATTGTATAATTAAACCTCATTTTGAGTACTGTCCAACTGTAATGCATTTAATAAACCAAAATAGGCTTTCCCAATTCCAAAAACTCCAAAATAGGGGCATGAGAATTATATTAAGATGCAGTCGTTATACTTCCATTGATCACATGTTAAATATACTACAATGGCTGTCGATTTCAAATCGATTATTCTTNTAATTTTCGTGAGCTATGGCCTCCTAATTTGGTATATATGCAGGATAATATGTTTAAAATGGCGACGAATAGAAGTAAAAGAATTGTAATAACTGAGAATTGTGCAAAAATGTGTATTTTCGACATTATCTATATCTTCCCAAAGTTATCCTTTTAAAGCCAGTCATTAATGTGAGCAACCACGAAAATTTTTGCCTCAAGAGGACGCTGAGGAGCGTGAGGTCAGGTCTCGTTGTTCTTTCGCCACTAAGAAGGGCGTTATAAGCGGTACTGTGACAAGTATTGTAGTCTATATAGTCAGAGCTTGTCATTTCTTATATGCTTCAACAAAAACAGTTATGAATATTATAGGTGTTAACATTTTTAAAATCAATGAGAAGTAAAAGATAAAAAAATCTATTAATGAATGGTTAAAAATATTTAAAATAACTGGATCGAAATATTCCGATGACCCAATTGAAAGAGGAAATGTGAAAACAATAATAATATTTGGGCTATGCAAAATTGAGACCAAATAATGAAGATCATTGGTGAAAAAAAATGCAAGAAACGAAAATGGGAATAAATATCTCAAATCAAACTACTTGACGACGTTTCGATTGTTAGTATCCACAATCACCTTCGGTTGATAACTGGTTTATGTTTATTTATATTGTTTGCATATTGTTGATCTTAAGTCATTAGTCGATCCATTCAATTATTCCTTTTCATTTCCGGTCACAATATTTTAATTTTTTTCATAAATTTGTGTTTCTATAGTTTCCAAATTCTATACTCATTGTTCATTTTTTGTCTGATTTTATAGTATTATGTCTTTTTTCAACTCATCATATTTTTCATATTTGATCAAATACCTTTTTTATATTATAATTATTTTTCTTCTCAGATAGAGATTTCATTGCCAACTCGTAATCATTCGGACTAAAATGTTTGTTGTACCCGTAAGGCTATATTCCTCCCCCCATGCCCTCTCACGGGTTGAGTGCCCTGAAGTAGAAGCTTTCCTCCCCCCTCCAGCTAGTTAGCGAGAAGAACCTACTACCCCACTCCATCCACCCCCGCTCTCCGAGCGGTCTTCAACTTACTGATGGGCACTTCAGCAAGATTGAAAACTGACCTCTTTTGGTCGAAAGTCAGCCTACTACCTCACTCCATCCACCCCCGGTCTCCGAGCGGTCCTCTACTTACTGATGGGCACTTCAGCAATATTGACATCTGACCTCTTTTGGTCGAAAGGCAACCTTTAGGTGCTATTCTTTTGCGATCGGTAAAAATGTTCTGTCGTAACTATTCCTAACTGAATTTTTGGATGGGGGCCCCCAAAAACTAACCGGCGGCTATTATTGTTGTTAACGTCGAGGGTTCCTCAGTGAATCTAAGGATATTTGAATCGCGGTCGAGTTGTTCTGCCGTGAACTTGCTGAAAGAAAGAAGCTATATTCCTCAGGTATTCCCAGACATTTAAATAGATGTTTAAACTGTAATCATGACCTCTCGCCCTCCAGCGCCCTGGGACGGCCTCGTCGATGGTGGTAATCTCCCTCTCTCTCATAGTGTTCTTTGCCTTTGATTCAATAGGTTCATTTGACCATTTTATAAACGTATTCTAAAATCCATGAATATTATTCTTATCTGAATAAGACATAAATTATATAGTCATAAGGTCAGAGATGCAGCCAAAAATTATAAATAACGTATCATATCTCAACGAGATATTTCCACCAACCTTCAATCAAAAATGCATCTAGCTTTTTGCCTATCATGATAGTTTTGTAACAATATGTGGGCGAAATAACAAGCATATTGCCACTAATCATGTAACACATGAAAACTCACCTTTAAAAAACACTCTGATGTCAGTTGTCGCTGTCATTAGCAGCTGCAGGTCAATGTGCTGGATCAGCTGAATTTTGAACGCTCCTTTCTAAACAAGTTTGATCCTGACGTTTCTGTTTCTGTCTTGAAAAAATGTCATTATTTCTAGGTTATACGGATAAGGTGGTGTCATAGATTTTAGTGTTACAAAACAAAGCTTGCAATATGAAAATATTTTAAACTGCTGTGCTTTTTGTGTTAGTTTAGGAGAATTTTAGTGCTAGGTAATTTAATTTCAATAAAGAACGATGCCGATTTTTATCCCTGACTTTCTCCAGGTTCCGAAAATAATAGATGGATGTCAATTTTTATCTTAGGAACTAGGATTACTGAGACCTTAAACTGAACATTTTCAAAAATATATATATGAAATTACTTATTTGAGTTGATACCTAATATCACAATAGTCACGACATTATTAGGCACGTAGAAGCGGCAAAATGTCTTCGTCGATTGTATGAAATTCAATGAGCCGAACATAACCGATCACAGCGCGGGAACTCCCGAATGCAGTTTCTGTCGTAGTTTTGGCAGGTTTGGCACCGAAAACCGTTTTTTTGTCGAAACTAAACGAAACCAAACTTTCGGTAGGATACTAAATTTTTGTTTTTCGATCAACTTATCAACTATATCTGAAGGAAACCCCTCACTTTCAACTTTTTTCTTGATATATCTTTTTATACTTAAGGAAAATATGATGAGCCCATAGATAAGAAAATATCCCATAGTGGTACAATAACTCGGTACAAGAAACATGTTTCACATATTCGGTTTCATAGACCAGAGAAGTTTAGTGTCGTACAGCATTCCTTGGAGAACGACAACAGGCTATTAGAGGCTTTGAAAGTTTATAAATCGAAAAATATGGAATGAGATCTAAGAACAGCAATAAGGGATCTTTTACGAACAGTATCATAACAAGTTGCCATAAACTTATGAATTAGGAATAAGGATATTTACAAACTAACATAATTTACAAACTAAAACAATAGGAATTCATTTGATAGCCTTTATTACCAAAGGTTATAAAAGACCTCATTTGAAACATTTACTTTTATCATCTTTTAATGATGCTTACCTGGTTGGAAAAATCATTCTTATTAAATTCATTTCATGCCAGAGGTTCCAATTGTACGTATCAAGCGCAGAATCTAATGTTTCTTTATTGATGTTATGGTTTGCACCACCCTGTATATTAGAGGTGATGATCCAGGTGTACAGTATCGTGTATATCACTTTATTAATAGAATATATTTAAGAAAACAATTGTTGATTTATTCCCTACCATTCATATATCAATAAATCATTGAATGCTCAATTAAAACCACACTATACAATCAAAAACACTGTAACAAGTGTATAACAGTTGGTTTGAAATTCCGAAAATAATAGATGGATGTCAATTTTTATCTTAGGAACTAGGATTACTGAGACCTTAAACTGAACAATTTTTAGGTGAGTGCTACTTATGCCTTATACCTTCGATGTTTGGTAAATAATTTTTTGAGTTCTGTTGATTTTTTCTATTTAAGAATTCTTTGTTTCAGGTACATAAGTGTTGACTGCGCTTTGCTTGGGCACCTTCTTTTATTTAGAGAATGTAAATAAGGTATGTATAGGAAACTTGAAATAGTCATAATGTACTTTTCACCAACAAAGAAATATTAAGTGAAAGGGAGAATAACATTTTCATGATAAAGGCCACTAACTTCAATCCAGTAATTATAAGTAAATTCTCAACTTGAAATACTATGCATGAAATCATTCAAAACATTTGTATGCCTCCCATGAACTTCAGCCTTGCATATGTGTGGTTTTGTTTTTGAGCCCATTTTCTATCAGCCTATCTTAATTGATATCTATTCAATTATGTTATCTCTCTTATCACTTACATTGTATTATGATACTCAAGTTATCATGGAAATTCAATAATGATCCTTCAATGTTTCACAATCACTGTAAAATGAAGTTTATCTTTTCTTTTCAGATAAACCAACCAAGTATCTTTCCTTACAAGAATATTTTTTGGAGTTTGCATCTTTTTTCCAAATGTTAACCTCTTCTCAAACTATTATAGTTTACCAAAATTTTCATTGTTGAAATAACTGTGATAATACAAAATGTGATGTAAATGTTATTTTATGGCAAAAAAACTGCTCCTCGAACATTTTCCCAAGTACTTTGTTGCATAGAACACACATAGTAGTACTTCTCGCTTGAAGAATATCACGATGGACAAAGCAGACCAGAAACAAAAAAATTCAAAACGCCACGGCACAACTGATAGTCACAACACCCGGCACAGTGTAAATTCTAGTTCTGGGGTTTTAATGGTAGGCCCAAACTTTCGCGTAGGTAAGAAAATTGGCTGTGGTAATTTCGGTGAACTCCGGCTAGGAAAAAACTTGTACAATAACGAACATGTCGCCATAAAAATGGAGCCCATGAAGTCCAAAGCACCCCAGTTGCATTTGGAGTATAGATTCTACAAACTGCTGGGCAGTCACGAAGGGGTACCAGATGTATATTATTTCGGGCCTTGTGGAAAGTATAACGCATTAGTCATGGAGTTGTTGGGGCCAAGCCTGGAAGACTTATTTGACATTTGTGATCGAAAATTCTCGCTCAAGACTGTCCTGATGATCGCAATACAACTATTACACCGCATAGAATATGTTCATTCTAGGCACCTTATTTACAGAGACGTTAAGCCCGAGAACTTTCTTATTGGACGTAGCAGCACTAAAAGAGAGAAAATTATCCATATTATTGACTTTGGGCTAGCCAAGGAATATATCGAACTTGAAACTAATAAGCATATTCCTTATAGAGAACACAAATCATTGACTGGCACTGCTCGGTATATGTCAATAAACACACACTTAGGCAAAGAACAATCCAGAAGAGATGATCTCGAGGCACTTGGCCACATGTTCATGTACTTTCTCAGAGGTTCCTTGCCCTGGCAAGGGCTGAAAGCAGACACCTTGAAGGAGCGCTACCAAAAAATCGGGGATACAAAACGGGCTACTCCCATAGACACTCTTTGCGAAGGCCACCCTGAGGAGATGACGACATACTTGAGATACGTCAGAAGACTGGACTTTTTCGAAACCCCCGACTATGAATATTTGAGAAACCTTTTCATTTCTTTGTTCAACAAGAAAAATTACACTGACGATGGAGAGTTTGACTGGTCGGGTAAGACGATGACTACTCCCGTAGGATCTCTTCAAACGAATGCTCACGAGGTGATCGTCTCGCCGAACAGGGATCGACATGCAATAGCCAAGAACAAAACAAATGTCTGGCCCGAGGCTTCGAAGCAAAGCACTTTGGGCAACCTGACCCCGGCCGATCGACACGGGTCCGTCCAAGTAGTTAGCTCAACCAACGGAGAACTGAATACGGACGACCCCACCGCCGGACACAGCAATACTCCCATCACACAACCGCACGAAGTAGAAATGGTGGACGAGACCAAGTGCTGCGGCTTCTTCAAGAGAAAGAAGAAGAAAAACATCCGTTCAAAATGACTGCAGTACAGCGAGACAGATCAGCAGCTGGTACTACTGCCGTGCGGTCGTAGCAGTGCTGCCACTTTCAAGTGACTAGTGTGACGACCAATGTCGAACTAATCTTTTAGCTTTAGTTTAGCCCTTATTAAAAGTAAGTTTAAGTCGTACCATATCTGTGAGTGTCTAAATGAGCCTTACTCGTTTTGCAGAGTACTGATGATCAACTTGAGGGGTATACTTTGTGCAACTCTGTTTGATATTTGCGCTTAGTCTTGCATCAGTTTCGATTGGATGACTCTCAACATAAAGGGCTTTTTTTTGTAAACTCTGTAAAGTGATGAAATCAGTTGATACTTGATGAAAGTGTTTAATAGACTTGATTGTGAGAATTTTGTTAAACTGTTTACAAAAGTGCAATATGTTTCACTATATTTATTCATTCATATCATACTTTGGTATACTGGATATATGTGTTATATCATAGTAAAGCAAAAACAAAATAAAACTACAGAACTTTACAAGAAAAATGATAATACTTTTTTGTCCAAAATTATCATCTCATTTACAAAGTGGTCTACAATTATGAAAAGTTATAAATATATTCACAATAAAAAATACAGATGTAAATATGTAAAATAAAGGTTCATCACAGAAAATTGAACAGAAATAACATCGGTCACTATAAGTAATGTTTGACATTCTTTCCGAAATGGTCAATTTATGGATACATTAATCCTGTTACTTGATGGAAAAATTAATAACACTATCCATGATAATAATATATAATTTCCATATTAATAAATTCAATCAAGACACATTTCACTACACGGTAGCTTCATCAGTTGAACTGGTGTCCAACTGATGGTGATTGGAAAGTGATAGATAACTAAGTCATATTGAGCTTTATTTTTATGTACTAGATTTATAAGATAAAAAACTAATGGGGCAGAATTTATGGAATACTTTTGATCATACTTAGAAAATTTATCAATGGCATGGTAATCAAAAAAAGCTTTGTTGCTATCAAGAACCTGCTAGAAGTCAAGAGACAGTATCGTGTAAAAAATCATCATGACTACATTTGCAAGTTTATATTCTTCACCTTTGTATGAAAAACTTCCTTGACTCGATTTTCCTAATAACGACAATTTGTTGTAACAGTTTATTGCATCTGAAATGATCCGTTCTATGCGAGATTACCATGATGCTTGTCTCTAAGGTAATTATTCTAATTTTTGTTGAATATATTGATATTTTCATGTGTAAAAAGTGACACATTTCGAAATATATATGGAAAGTGAAGTCAAGAATCTCAACCTTGAGAAAATTGGTCTGAAATCATTTCAAAAATCCATGCGAAATATCAATCTCATTAGTCTGTTCTGAGCAAAAAATAACATGGGAACCCCCTAGCACAAACCTATATTGCGATTTTCAAGCAGATGTGGGTGTAAACCATAGAGAAGTAGACTTTTTTCAATTGTTTCATTGAGCTTCATGCAGACTTTTTGAATGGAACAACTCCAGTTTAGATTTTCGTTCAAGGACGTTCTTTGGATGAGCATTCATTGTGCATATATTTCACTAACGCTTCTTCAGGCGAATTGAACTCATCTAAAGAAGTTACTATAGAAAAACACATTTTGCAATTTTGTGAACTTTCTAGTTGAAATCTCACAACTAAGTGTATCAAATACGTTTTAAAATTTCATTGATGACCAGTTGATTATTTGAGATTGCAATAAACAATTACATTTTATAAAGCATTTGGTAGCTCATTGTAAAACTTGATACCTTTATAAAAATGATTTCATTTTCATTAATTTAAGATTGCCTGAATATCTTGTCGAATAGTTGTGTTGGTCACCATTGATTTTGTAGGTCAGATTTGAATGTTTGAGCTTATTTTCGACCAAGTGAATTATTCACAAAGATGTGTAGATCGTGCAAAGAAGTGACTTTCAGACACAAACTGGAAGATAAAGACCTCTTGAAACAACTACTTGTATATGAACATTGATTTATACAAAAAACACTTACCTATTCAGTACGTATTCCAAACATTCATTAGGAAATTGAATCTGATATCATTCACAGAATAACTCTTTCATATACTATATTGTGAAGCTATCAGATTCAATTTCATAACGAATGTTTGGGGTACAAACTGAATAGGAAAAAGTGTTTTTTGTATGTTCATATAAAAGTAATTGTTTCGTGTTTCTCTTTCTTGTAATTCAATGTTTATATGAAAGTAGTTATTTCAAGAGGGCTTTTTCTTTCAGTTTGTGTCTGAAAGTTACTACACATCTTTGTAAAGAGTTCATTCAGAAATAATATGCTTTCTTCCTTCTTGGGAAGATTCACATATTTTTTGTATAAAAATGGACAAGTAGAAAGAGAAAACCGTTCTTTTCCCATTTAATTTATTTTTGCACATAGTGTTGCAGATTGTACGAGTTGAAAACGTTCGGTAGGATTTGGTGAAAGCTGTCGGTGGTATTGAGTTTTGTAAACTTACAATACTGTATATAACAGTTTGAGAAACGAGTCAATTCAGCCAATTATTTAAATGGTTATATCACTTTCTTTTGAACTTTAAAAAATTGAAATTAGGAAAGAAATATAATAAAACCATACTACTTTTTCATCATTAAATAAAAAATGTGGAAACTGCATTTCTACAATTGAAACTCTTAATGAAGATACTGATCTCTCCTAAAATAATTCATTTTCAATTCATAATAATATCAGATTTTCATTCAGTTGTCGGTTTTATTTGAATTTGTTTTTATATATTTCTTGTTTTGATTCCTCAATGAATATTACTGGAGTTTTTTCCAACACCAAATCGTTATTTTTAACACCTCGACACATGTGATTATACTTTGGAAAAATACAGTTTATTATACAAAATGATTGGACTTATGATGCACTGTTTGGAACCTTTGGTGTAGTAATGAATATTACTGGAGTTTTTTTCCAACACCAAATCGTTATTTTCAACACTTTGACACGTGTTTCGATCACCAAGTAATCATCGTCAAGAGAAAGATCAAACTACAAGAGAAATATCAAACATTAGTTTTATTTTTATCTTCCTCTTGAAGATTATCACTTGGAGATCGAAACACGTGTCGAGGTGTTAAAAATAACGATTTGGTGTTACGAAAAAAATCCAGTAATATTCATTACTACACCAAAGGTTCCAAATAGTACATCATAAGTTGATTCCTCAAGTCCATCATTCACTTCAATGAAACTTTGTAATATCAAAAGTAAAAACAAAATAATCTCCCAAAACAAAACAGATGGTATTCAGCACTTGGACGTGCAGTACATGCTCTATAAAAAAAATAACAGTACAAAAGTAGGAAAAGGTTATTTTAAGATAAAATGGTATCAAAGAAACAAGCATTGAAAATATTAAACATATATAATTTTGAGAAAGTAGCTTCCATCGCTCATTTAATAGTTTATTACAGGAGTTGTTTTTTTTATGATGCGGAATCGAATAGATATCTCAAATTATAACATATTTTTTCTTCATTATGAATATCTGCCATGCTGTCATAGCAGCGAGGCCACTCTTAAGCAATTCATATGACGACTAATGTCAAACTAATCTAGTTTATGTTTAGGCATTATTGAAAGTAGGATCAAGAAGGGCTGTTGAATTCAACATATTTAGTGATTGATCAATTGAATATTCTGACAAATGCTTCCATATAGATCAGACATGTTCATTTAATGGAATAAAACAATAATTAACAATGATAATGAATATTACACGGTAAAATGAAGAACCATAAGAACAGTTTGAAAAGTATATATAACTGTAGACTATAATTCGATTAACAATTTGTTATGGTATAAGATTCCTACAGAGCAAGTCTATGATTCTTGAATAGACAGAATATTTGGAATACCGAAAATGTCTTGACTGAAGATTGTAGGGAACAAATAAATTATGACATTACCAGTAATAATCTTGATTTACCTGAATTACTTGAAATGGACATTTCAAATGTGTATGTAGTGTATATTCAGAAATGTATGGTGTTTATAAAGAAAATTAAGAGCTTTTTGTTGAAACTTACAACACCTCAGGGGTAATAAAACGAGAAAATAAACTGTTTAATAATAGTGATTGGAGAGGAACTTCATAAACACAGGTTTTGTCACAAAGCACCTGGCGATTTTCAAAATCTCAAATAGTATAACATTTTAGATAACTTGTACAGCTCGGGTTGTGTTTTTGGAAAACATATTATCTAATAGCCTTATTGTTGCTTTTGTACTGCTGCTTCACTTTGAAAATAAGCTTATTTATCATATACATGCTGTTATTGTATGCCAGGTATAAAAGTTTCTTAAAATATGTTGGAATTTTGTTGGAGTTTTCACGACTATTTAGTCAAATATGTCAAATTTCCCAGCTGTAAAAAATGGTTCTAAATTATTCTGTTTAATCGATTGGAAACATTCATTTTTCTCTAAACAAAAAATACTACAATTTCCAAATAATTAAAATTCATCATCAAATTCTTTCATTCAAATCGTGCTGGTTTGTGATTTGGTCAGTTTTTGAATGTTGAAATACTGATTTTAATTCGAATTTCATGAAGCCCTATCAAATATGATGAAGGCACTCACAAAATTAATTAATTTCTATTTATATGAATACATTGTTATTTCAAATGTTGAGTTTATGTGTTTTAATAGTTTGTTCCATTGATTTTGTAGAAATTCATATGGAATATAGGATAAAGAAAATAACTATTGTCCATTATTATTAGTTACGACCGGTTTCGTTTTGTTAGACGATTCTCAAGCTACCGGACTGAGTCATGGCCAGTGGGAGAAATCGAATCTGCGTAAAGTTTGGGTCAGTGTATGACAAAGAAAGTATTAGGAAACTTCTGTTTGCAATTTTACGTATTACAGATTAAGTGGTAAACAATAAATGGATAGTAAAATGCCATTTGGGTTTATGTAGAGGCAAATTCGGGAGGGAGGGGCTTCTCACCGGCCATGACTGATCGTAACAATTAATAAACTTAGTAGAAATTAGGCAAAAGTTCTTTTCTATATCCTATGTTTTAATGATATTAGGTATTTGGCCAAAACATTTCGAAACGTTGTTTTGATCAATTTAATTTTTTGAGACACTTGGTACATATGAAAATCTTATACAGTCAATTTGAAAATGTGCGTCGCAGATTGTAATAGGTGATTTTCAAAAGAACTTGACTGAGAATCATATTCTGCCCTGATGTTGTAAAGTCTGGTAACATCTTCATAATATTTTGAATGTAATATCTTAGTAATGTCATGACTAGACTTAATCGTATCAACAAAATTTTAAATAGCTCTAAGGTTGAGAATAATCCTAGAAATGATATGCAAGCTCATTACTTTGGTCTGATATATTCTAATTCGATATTTTAGATAATAATTTGTACTTTCAACTCTCAAGGCGGTTGTGGAAATATATTCATATTATATATTTTGAACAATATTGTAAATATGTAGCAAACCCTACTGTTATAAAACATAGTAAAATTTTATAAACAGACGTAACCTCACAAAAATATAATTTCATTAGTTGTGGTTTGTTGGCACCTAGATTGAACCATTCCTGTCAAAAGTTATTCGCCATCTCTGCTCGTTGTATTTTAATCGAGCAGAGCTAACAACTTTTGGCGGGAGTAACAGTTCTGGAATGAAAATAGTGTGAATAAAACACAACTATTGATAGTTCATATTCATATAAATTCAGGAAAAATAATTCGAACAAAAAAAGAGACAGGAGTTGTCTTGACCAATGATAAATATACTCGAGTCCTTGTTATTTCACTTATAGTAATTTTCAAATTAAATTTGTTCTCATGTGAACTCTTGGAGTCAGACAAGTTTTTAGTCACAATTTCATAGTTTTCAGTCAGAATATCAAGATATCAGTGGAAACTCACGAGTTTAAATTGAAGAATGAGGCATGGTAACATTTTTGTGTAGGGACACCACTAATATCGATTTCTTATATCAACACAAAATTATTAACCAATTGTGGTTTGTTTTTCGACCAAAGTAACTAGTGGAATACTCAACAATTCATCTAGAAATTTTTCACGAGTCACATGTTGAAAAGTATACATCAAGGAGATCGTAGCGTTGCATAATCTTAATTTTTTTAAACTCGCACTCATTTTATCACTATCATTATTTATTCTTAATACCATGCAAGTAATGTGTTTCAAAGAGACATGATTAATTTTTTGATTAGTTTAGTGTTCCGATAGTCATTAACATTATTAGTAGCATTATTTAAAGTCAAACTCTTGTATTTGTGTTGCGAGTGAGGCCGATATTTTTAGAGTGTATAATAGATTAAAAACAAGTTCAGCAGTGTAAAGTTTTCGATTTGTATATAATAACCTAGCGTACAGAGTAGACCCACCTTTTGGCAGTTTTAAAATGTTTTAATATTTTTTAATTTTACATTGTTACATAAGCTTTTTCTATTTATACTATACTTATTTATATGTTCGCCTGCATTTTATATAATTTTTAGTGGGGTGCGATTTGAACAATGATGAAATATTAGGATGTTTAGTGATAACATGAAACGCAAGCAGATCAATTCGACAATTTTTTTGGAATGTGCATTATCACAAAAAGTTACCAAAATAACGAACAGGTATTTTTCGGTGCCTAGCACCATATAATTTGTGAAACAAATTATACTTCAAAGA